AACGTGATTCTATAAAATTGGTTCTTGATTAAAACTCACAACTCTAATCAGATACGTTATAGATCTCGGAATCACTGAGTTGATCGTCATTTTGTTTTCTTTAATTAACCTATTAATCTCTTGACTCGCGCTTCAGGGTCTGAATACAGTCATGTTGATAGCCGGATATAAACAGAAGGGAAGAAGGAGTCTACTTTTGTAAAATATTGAATAGTTAATTTTCATACTTAAATTTTAAATTTACTCTTGTATGATCCTATATCGATGAGATTATCTCCTTTTGCTAGTTAGGATGAACAGAAGAATGAAGGTCCTCACACATTAGGCAATTTAATTAAGATATATTTAAATTTGTTTTCGATATTATCAAACACGAACAGTTTAACTACTTTCTGACAGACGACATGAGGAATAGCAACTTATTTGATAATTTGACAATCAAGACTCGTATATTTCTCGAACGACAGACTATATTATATTATTTACAAGGATTATCAAGGCCCCGTAGCTTTTAATGTAAGCCCAGTTTTTTAATCAAACCCAAATTTTTATTATGAAGAAAAATATGATCCGGGAAGCATATAATAACAAAAATCTAACCAAAAAAGTCACATTATTGCTTTAAAGGTTATTGAACCTGTTGTTCCTTATACAATGTTTAATATAAGAGTTTTCTAAATTTCTTTCATCGGAAAACAAAGGAAAATTATTTTGAAATTGTGATTTTTTTATTTGAGCAAAGAAGTTATCTGCGTGCCTCACTGCGACCTCGATAAATCCATACTTCGCTTTATCTTATCTTAGTACAGACATCGCCAGAGCAACAAGACACTTTAAACGTAATCCATTAAGCATTAGACGAATACTGATTTCACGCAGAAATAAAAGACCTAATGATTGTACATTCCCAGACGTTTCGGCATCGCCTAGGAATGCACCAAGTCCACGGTCCGACTAAAATTTATCATGCATACTATGGACTCCGGACAAGGTGCATTCCTTAGGTCTTCCTGTTAAAGTTGCAAAACCAAGGTCAAATAAATTATATACAATGAAATGAGACCGCGACCATGCAAAGGGCAACACCATCCTGGTCTTCATACCTTCGATAAATATGTACAGTATGGTTTGGCTAATTATCTTTCATTATTGGTTATGTTACTTTTGCTCAAGTGTGTGTGTACGTGCGTATGAGTGTGACCGTCTGTGTACTAACGTATACACGCAATACTGGTCCTAAATCAGAATGCTAAAATAAGCATACTATCACTGTTAACGAGAGACTTTTACAAGAATGAGTTTCAGCTCTGATGATATTCATCATATGATGGATAAAAGCTTAAATTGTTTTTACTTGAAGCGAAGGAGGCTATCTCGTGGACTGTGCCAACCCGAACCAATACCCGGGCTATACGAATGCAGAATATAGTCTCGACTCCTTAACCACTACGCCGCACTGCCACGAGTATTATTGGGAAACAGGACAAAATCATATTCTCTGTTGGGATCGTCGTTGAAGCAAAGTTATATTTTAAATAGCAATCAACTACTTTACTTCATTTTACTATCATAAGTAGGTTTTCGAGAGCTTCATCAACTTAATGGAATAGGATGATTACAGATCCTATATTAGATCCACTGGTAATCTCGTAAACTCGTAAAATTTTAATGTGAGTTTGTTTATGCTATCATTTTCTGTATGCTTTTTGTATTATGAATTAGTGTCATTTAATTATGTGGTAGAGACCACATAAGACAAGGTGTTGAATAAGACCAAAAAAGCTTGCAATGCTAGTCACTTTTACACAGCACTCGTATCAAAGGTACTTCTTACAATGGAAACCTTCGACCGTTAGTTGCAAAATGGCCACTGCTAATTTTACATATTTTGGCAATTACTAATCTCTACTTTTATGTATGCAATATTATTAATCGATTTTAAAGATGCACCATCGTATTTTTAGACTTCTCTTACTTGACAAACGTTCAGCGACCATATTTAAAGGATGATATTAATACAATTTTAGGCATTAGATAGTAAAGTGTTGGTTATACCTTGATGGTGTGGTCTTCTGTTTGGTTACAGTTTCCTTTAGCTTTAAAGTCTTGGTTCGATCTTGTTTTCGCAACTTGTTCGGAGCGTCAGGGAGACCTCGAGGAACGTACCTATTCCCGTGCCCTCTGCTATAATATTTGTGATTTCCAGCATTGGACCATTGGCTGGGTACATTCCAAAACGTTTCGCCGGAATCGTAGTCGGCATCGTCAGAGGCGTCATCATAAGCGCAAAGTTACAACTTATCAAAGTGACAATCCCTCTAGCCAATTTTCTGTTCAACCGTTGTTGCATCACTCTTCTCTTCTATTGTTTTGTTCTACCTTCTGGATAATAAACGTTAAAATCCCACTGTCCCTACTACCATTTCAACTTGCACCTTTTACTCCATTGCCATATCTAGAAATGCATTATTGTTTTGGCAAAATTGTCACTTCTCTTTTTTTTAAAGCATTCAGGGTAAGCAGCTTGCTCTTAAGTTGATACCGCTTCATCGTCACGCCATGCGTGTTCCAGCTGAAGTTAATCCCTTTGCATTCAATAGCACTTTGGTTGCTTACCGACCTGCTACTTGCAGTGACATTACCTCCACCCTCGTCACTACCACCATCACGTCCGTTTCCACATCATTGAACGCCTGTGGGTCCGTTGGTACAAGTTTCATAGGCCCCATTCCTGCCCAGGCTGTAATTGCGGGGACAAATGAAGGCGATATTTCAGCACAGACTGGTGCTCAACAAGCTCCCTCTACACCTGCTGTGACTTCTGCTACCGGTGTTCGAAAGTTTTTTCAACGCCATCGACGTATTTTATCTGCCTCTGCGGTACCCTCCAAGACGTTGACTATCGAGGACCAAAGCTTTCCTACAGAGCCTCAAGCTTCTTTGGCAGTGAAAAAGCTCGAACAGATTGAGTTGACAAACTCATGCCATATAAAGCAGGCGAATTCGGCAGTAACACAGGTTTGTTATCCTCTTGATGTAGCCTTTATATTTCCATGATGTCATATTTCATTAGTTACATATGATGTTCTTGTGGTAGAGAGATTCAAAAATGCAAACCTAGCTAAGTGATCATTTAATATCGATTAAAATAAGAAGTATCTTACACATAAACGACAAGTCTTTTGCGGGATATTTACAACAAAAAATTAGGACTCTGGGTGCATCTATAAGCTAACTTCTTTACTCCGTTATTTGGAAAAAAACGATTGAGATAACACTTGCGGTAAGAAAAACTGCTATTCCATTTTACGAAATATACTAATAATGCAAATTCACCTTTCAATTTGCCTCATTGATAAGTGTCATTCTGATTGAATTTCACAATTAGCAGCAAAACATATGTTGTTCAAGGGAAGGATGTCTTTATTTGTTGGATTTCTACTAACTGCATGACCTAGTAATGATCACTAAGAAAATAACTAGAAAATTTGTATTAAAATCTATAAGTTGATTTTCTTTAAATTTCTTGCTGATATTTTGTTATGCAATGAAGGTCTAGCTCAAGATTCCAAATTGCTTCAAAACCAGACAGGTTATCTCTACAATATGATACTACAAATGAATTATATTTATCTGTCAAATCTTCTTGCGCTTGTTTTTTCATATAGATTTTTCTTCATTTTGCTAATTTATCCAACCTGCTTAATGCTAATGTCCACTTTATTTGCTTTTTAGCTATCATGCTGGGATATTTAGGTATCCTGGTTGGCCTATATTATGTAAAATCAACGTTCTTAATATTTATGGCTCTTATTTTCTTATTAATAATAGGTTTCCAAAACTATTTTTCATTGTAAACATTTTTAAATGAACATTTATCTCAAGCTCCTCTTCCCTTGATATATTCGCTAACCCTTTAATGTATTTTTTCCCCATTATCAGCTTGCAGTTAAGACTGAGGAGATCCAGAATCCGATTTCTTTATCGAAGCCTTTTTCCACTGGGCTATCTATGACTCCCTTTTCACCGATCTTTAATCTTCCTAATTTTTCCAAGTACGGTACAGAGGATCCTTTAAAACAGAAGTCTTTTTCTCACAAGCAGGGGTCTCTGGAAAATCTAAGGAGTCAAGCATATGCTTTAAACGGCCACAGAAGAATTTCCAATATTAAAATTCTTAAGGCTGATGAAGAATCGGATAGAGATGAGGATGATGAAGACAAGGAAGATGAGGACGAAATAGTAGAGGAAGAAGAGGAAGATGAGGAAGAGGATGAAGAGGAGGAGGAAGAAGAGGAGGAAGAAGAGGACGAGGATGAGGACGAGGACGAGGATGAGGACGAAGATGAAGATGAAGATGAAGAGGAAGAGAAAGAAAAAGAAAAAGAAGTGGAAAAGGATGAAAATGAAAATAGAGGCAAGGCTTTGGACAAACAGGAGGCCAATGGGGATGAACAGTTTATTATAGAGGCCTATAAATCTGGATGCAAAGAAGAATTATTGGAGACTAATTTCTCAACAGAAAAGTCGGCCACTTCTGGTTTTATTAGGAGAGCTTTGGCTTCTAATGCTTCATATCCTCATCACCCCAGAAGCTTGCATAATCAAGTT